AGGCTACCCTAATAGAAGTCGCACCCATTTTTTTTTAACAATTGAGAATCAAAAATTCACCCTTTCTTGCACGTATAGATGCTCTAACCCTCTGTCGCATTGTACCATCTTAATAGAAGCCGCGGCTTATTATACAGATTCAACAGTAGTCAGATATTTTAGATGGAATGAAAATAAAAAATGCATCACAGTTTTGTTACTCTCCCTAAAACACCAGCACCCAAGTGTTGCCACCATACACACTCCTCTAAATACACTATACAAATATACAATATCAAAAATTTCCAACATAAGAAGGGCTATATAATGATAACGGAAAGACAGTCCTGGGATTAAGTCATCGATGGAAACCATTGCACTGGCTCATAATCCACTTTCTTATCGATAACTTAATCAAGTGTTTGTATTATTTTAAAAATAGGATCTCAGGTTTCGCTTTCAGACATCACTTGACGAAAGCTTCCATGAATACCAAAAATGAATGGATGAAAAAACAGTTCAATAGGTAACGTGTTAATTTGACGGTAAATGTGGTGATAGAGCCCCTCCCCTCATAATGCCATTTTTAAAAATCTTTTTTTCTTCTTATATACCAAACAGAAATAATAACGTTTAACATGTACTTTTGTGCAATTTACAGACATCTTCTTTAAGCACCTTATTTTCTCAATTTAGTTCAGACAATAAATGCCTCATAGTGTTGTTTTTTACTCCAGGAAATAATTCATTGCGTCAACCACACCACCATGTTCCCAAACTGGTTCTGATTGGATTTCAAACAAGAAGAACATTGTAAAACATGTTGGTTTACTGCAATTCCCTTGTATTGTCCTCACATTTAAAATACACTTAAACACAAATTATTTAATTTAAAATCTAATTTACCACCAAGTGCAGTTCTTTATATTTTTCTTTACGTTTTCTCACGCATATGATAATTCCACCAACGAAAATTAAAAATACAGGTAAGCCAAGACCAGCAGAGATTACGATAATAATTAGTAGCGATAACTGATCTTCTGGTGGCGTACCATAGGCTATATTCACTGTCCTACAAAAATACACAGTTAATATGTATCATTATTATATCTGTAAAATGTCATATTTTGATTTATTCAAAAACATATTTGCACAAATAAGATTATAACAAGAATATCATGAAGCATGTGCAGGCAGCACACGATCGCATCAACCTCTGCCTTGATCACCGCTTTGCATTCATGCATAATTTTTAGTATTCTAATCACAGAACAAAGTCGTAAGGTCATTATTAACAAAGTCTTGTGTCGTGATAACTACAAAGAGAATGCGTTGGGAACGACACTAAACATAACGATTCATTTTACTCACCATCCTGTGTAGCGTGTAGCATTATAGAACCCGTCTTTTGGCGTTCCAAATGAAATATTAAAACTTGTCATATCCACTTGATCCATAACAAAATAATTATTGATAATGCTGCTTGGAATGTACACGTCTGTGTATTTTTCATCATAATATTTTACCTATCAATAATAATAACAAAATCATATTGCATAATTGTGTTACAGTCCTCTCCATTTTTTTTTCATCTGTACTTTGAAGTATGTGAAATGCGATTCCTCACCTCCAAGGCATTGGCAAGATCTCTGATTTGGTTCCCGTAACATACTGGTTTCCATTGACAGTAACCTCCATAATGTGAAGGTGGCTGCGATGGTAGATGTAACTCATAAACCTAAGTAACAATGAAGTAATCATTTAATGCAAATTTGACACATGATAGAATAGAAGCTAATGTGACAGGATGTGGTGAATCTACATGTGGTAGTTGTGGTGGGTGTGTAACAGGTGAGTGAGGCAAAGCCAAAGATGGTGGTGATAGAGATTGGGATGGGCAGTTACAGGACATGTATAAGGAGGGTAGTTGTGGTGGGTAGCGTAACAGGTGAGTGAGGCAGACCTGCAAGTGTATAGCAGAATTGCAGGTGAGTTTACATGACCTAAGAGGGGTAGTGGTTGTTGACAGTATTGCAAGACATGTACATGCGGTAGTTGTGGTAGGCGATATCACAGGCGGTTATGACAAACCTGTGGGTGGTTGGCAGCATTACAGGTAGATTTGCCTGACCTAAGGGTGGCAATTGGCAGCATTAGAGAAGGATTGCCTGACCTTGGAATGGTGGGCTGCACCAAAGGTGTGTGACAGATCTAGTAATAGTAGTGGTGGTAGTAAAATATCTATGATAGCTGCATAACGAGGGGAAAAATAAACTAACCTTAAACATGCCTGGCGTGTATTCATCATCGATGGATCGACTCATGTGTATACTGATATTCTTTTTAGCATTATGTCCATTTTTAATGGCTAGCATTTCAATTGCAAATCTTGATGCTTTATACATCGGTACTAATCCATTTAAACTGACATCCATTTGGGTTGTGTTGGATGTATACAATAAATGCGGCAGTATATCGGATCTGTCATGGGTTGCAAACGCTCTCAGCTATGGATAGGTGGAAATAAAGACCAGTGAAATTAATTATTCAAAAAGATATTTATATTAAAAAATGTAAAATACATTTTGAATTTATTAGATATTGCATGTTGACATATATATTTTGACTTGTATACATTATTTACTGGTAGAACCAGTGTGGTCAAAACGTTGCCGGTAATCCTAGTGGGAACACCTTGAATTTAGTGCAACAAAATCAAATATAAATCCAACCAAAACGTTTCTCAACTCGTACCAAAAGCATGTAATCCAGAAGAAAGAACTATACCTGTATCGAGATTGTACCATTTTCTTTGAGTAACGGCTGATACAGCGTTGTCATCATCAGAGCTGTGTGCTTTGTTTCGTTGATGGAAAGACTCATATCTTGCCATTGTAAATTTTGCAGTAATGTGACATGCTTCGTGGTATTCTTCGTCTCTAAATCGGCATTATTGTTACTGTCATTATACTCAATGAGCTGTACGAATCATTAAGACACAAATCAAAACATCAATTATTTGTTAAGTACTTTGAAACCAATCATTTTCACCGACATTAATATTTTTTTTAATTTAATACTTTGAACAATTTCACCAGGTTTTAAGTTCACAAATTTAGCACAGAAATAATGAGTTCTATTGTTATTTTACGTGTCATGCAAATTTAATTTAACAGCGAAAATAGCGAAATTAAAAACCAGTAAATAATTATTTATGCCTTTCAGGTATTTACGAAGAATGCAAGTATAGGAAATTGTTGTTCAGCCATTCATTGAACACATGTGTAACTGTATATCCAATCCTCAATGTTTGCTTGAACTGCAAAAGTATACAGCGAGAAATTTTCACTGGGTTAAATTTTAGTGGATTTCACTACATGTAGTTTTAAATTTAATGTTTTTTTTTAAGAAAACAAAAAGTTATGAAGTTAACACTCAGGCTTCTGTTTAATTTGGAACATTATGCAATGTACGAAATCAGCGAAAGTACCGGTAAAACTCAGTGAATAATGTTTGAGTTACAGCATCATAAGTTGGTTTCCGTGTGAGAAAGGAGAGTTGAGTTCCAGCTCATGCAATTTATTTGTTTGTTTGTTTTACCAGTTCCTGACACTCTGTTGAACTGTCAAACATTTAAGTGGCAAAATCAACCACCCCTACACAGATGAATAAAAACATTTTTCTAAGGTAATGATGGACCTCAAAACTCACAAGAATATACAAGTTTTTAAAGTAACTGCGGAGCACTAAACTTGTCTATTCTATTTGAGCTCTATATATCAGTTTTTAATTAATTTCATAATGAAAAAACATCAACGTTAACAAAACAAAAAATTCACTCTAGTAGAGTTAGATTTTAAAAAAAGGAGGTAAAAATAGAAAGGATAAATTTGTAAGCCTGTGAGAGAGTATAGTGAGCGAGTTCAATATACATGTATTTTGTACTTTAAAATCTTGATACATTTTTTTTTATAGACAATTATTAATTATACTCTAGGAAAAAGAGCTTGGATTTTTCGGACTCCTGGGAGGTCTGTAAATACTATTACTTTCAAGTAGCAGGGAAAAAAATGCAAAGCCAGATAATTTTTCTGGTGCCTGGTTTCTAAAGAAAATACTGTAAGTACATGAATAAATAATGAAATTTGCCATCAGAATATCTCTTTTGCCTTTATGTATGGTGTGATATCATGCCAATTGACTCATTTCAAATTCAATTTATCGCTAAAATGCAGACAACTCTATAAAAAAGACCTACCCTAGATATAACCAATGCCATTGAGTACGTCACTTCAGAACTTGGTACAAACACTATACCGCCATTTTCTGAATTTAACACTTTATCCCAGTTCACTCGTAGTTCGGCATCTTTTGATGTCCTCACTAAAAGGATTGTGGGAGCACCGATTGAACTCCATAGGTAGTGTATGATATCCTGCGTGCCCTCTGCTTTCACGTATACAAGATTCTTATAATCTGATGTATTGTGGCATGCATCGGTGGTGCAATTGGGATTGTACACAATGGATATCTGTAGAGGATAATATAAGAACATTGAAATAAAGAAATTATCATACCATACCATACCATACATTGCACTGTACTGTACTGTACTATATTGTATTAAAAGTACCAAGTAATCTTGCACCATTTGGTTTGAAAATTAAATCAACTTCCAAGTTCAGACAACCAAGTATTTTCATGAACTTTATAAAAGTACTATGTCAAGGGCATTACAAAACATGAGTCATAGATTGGAAAGACAACAGCAGTATATAAGATTTATACAATATCGATGTCATATTTTCTAGCTTTAATCTCTAACACTACATGTAGTTTGATTAATAACTTGGTATTTGTAACTCTGGACCATCTAAGCATTGAATGTTTCCTTAATTAAGCTGGGCTTCTACAAGGATGTAATCAACAAACCATGCATGACACAGTCCCCATTAGTTATTAAATTTAAGATATATAGTTTTGTTTATAATAATATAGTTTGAATATAAACATGTCAGAGATATGGATCTAGAAGCTGATGCTTGATTATGATGATTTTTTAACATTGTAGTGATTGACAATCAGTCACCTTTTATCTTATCGTCAATCAAGTACTTGTCCACACTGAGAGCAATTGCTAGATGGAACAACATTAATTAAAACAAAATGGCCACCAGTTGGCCATTTTTAATCAGATCATCAAACCAATATATCTGTGTACCCATGACATGATGTATAATGATTATACAAAATTATACAAAACATAATCAGACAAAGCATATCAGAGATATGGCACTAGAACCGCATTCATTAAAAACATAGTTGTCGCTTGTTATATAATATAATTCCCTTTAACATAGTTTGTTTCAATATAAATACATGTATGCATTGTCATAATTAATTTTGAATACAAACAAGTTTTAGGGTTGAACCAACAGTGGGGAATCAGTCTACCGAATGTCCTTTAAAGATGTAAATATCTTACAAAAACATTGGTGCCTAATTGTTCAATTATTTTAAGGGACATAATTTCCAGCTTTATTCAAAGTAATTCAGATTTTTTAGTATAAAAAGAAATGCCTCATCTCAGAAAAAAAGTGCTGCATTTAGACGTGAATAGATTCATAAAACATGCAAGATAACAGAAAATCTTAGCTGGCTTTTGTCCAAGTATTTTGTACAGATGTCTGTCAAAAATTAATGATTCACTGGGACAAATATGAACTGCCTTATTATATTCATTGTTTGACTACTGTATTATTTGAAAAGTAAACAAAAAAGCCCTCTATAAATAGCTATCATGTTGCAAGATCTTCTAAATGTAATACAAATCAACTTAAATACTGAAGAATACTTTATTTTCGCTTGGAATTTATTTTCGCTATTTTTGCTGAAGGGATGATTCCGTGAAAATAAAATATACTTTTTTCCTATATTTCACATTAAACTCATGAAAAATCAGTGAAAATAAATTCCTAGCAAAACGCCCAAAAAGCCTTTTCAGCAAAAATTAATTCCAGCGAAAATAAAGTATTCCACAGTAGTTAGTTGGTGTCCAGTGGAGAGAGAAGTCAACAGTACTTTGCCTCCTGAGAATCTACATCTTTGTTTTTAAAGTGCATTTTAAATAACTATTATAAAAGCTTTATAATTCTGTTCTAATAGCTGAAACAAATTCCTATGAATTTTCATTTGTCAAATGAACGCTTTGTCAAATACAGAATACCTATTTTTGAGTACAATTTTCTTTATAAAATGTGGATGCAACGTTTCCTTTTTTTTATGTATTGTTTTTGATTTGAACACTTTGGACTAAACAGACTTTCTATTAGCTTCAGATCTTGATCAAAGTTAGACACCCAGTTCATAGGAGTGCTTATATTGATTTTCTTCTGACATCTTGTTTTCTGTAAAGATTTTATTGGTAGGTTTGCAAATGTTTGTCGGATGCCGCGACAGCGGCAAAAATCCAAGCTGGAAACCCGGACACGAAAAAGCAGGTGATCCAGACAGAGCCCCTAAACTTCATCCCCGTCGATGCGGAGATAAAGGAGAGTGAATACCCAGCCGTAATGGCGCCACCATATGGTCTCGGTCAGGTGGTTTGTGACATAAGGGAACAGAATCTTGAGGTCATGGGGCTTCCCCTGACCTAGATTCTATCTCTCCTTCTTTGGCAAAATCGCTGATTAATGCCTACAGTTCAAAATAGTCATTTTGACTGACCGGAGTCTATGGTGGGTAATTGAACGTAGTGAATTGAGATGCATCAAGGTCCCATAATGTTCAATGTATGTACCAAGATTGAAACAATATTCGTTCATAAACAGTCAAGATCTGGTTCTGGAATGCAAGAAATGCTTGATTTTGATCATTATTCATCACAAAAATGGCCGCTATTTGGCCATCGTGAAACAAATTGATGTGCATATGTATATTATTATGCACATGTATAATATTTAAGAGTTTGAATGTAATTGGTCCAGGCATGTCTAAGATATAGACAGGAAAAATAAAGTTGTGTACACTACTGTATAATGTAGTGGGAAACAATATCTTTATTCTTGGGCATATCGCGTGATACTTTGGAGCCTGTATCAATGCACTAGTACAACGTCTATTCTGGATAGTCAATTACATTAATGCTTAACATATTCAACCAATTTAGGAATCAACAAATTTTTGGGGTCAAGTTCATCTTAGCATCAATCCCTTCTGAAACAGCCTAAATTTGGCTTTCAAGTTTACAAGTAAACTATGCTTCAACATGTACAATGACCTATTGACTACCATGAAAGGTGTTAATAAAAAAATGTGTTTACACTCAATTTACCTTTCAAAAATTGTTAAACTGTCGTCAAACTGCGCATATGCAACATTTGTGTTGATAAACATTGTTTTCCCACAATCCAATGCTTAGTAACGTCTCAGTTTGTAATCGTTGATCTGCGAAACAGTCAAGTCGCCATCTTTGTATATACAAGACCCTGATATCTCGAGCATGCATGGCGCATCAATTGTTGCCCTTTAATCGCCAAATAATGACAATATTCAGGAATTTTTGAAGAATTGCATGAATATGATACAAAATTCTAATTAATAGACTCGACCGATCCGGGCGAACAAACTTGTTGCATGAACTTTGTTTCACCAAAAGAACATTACGGAAATTACTTCACACTGAGAGTTTGTATTCAAAGATAATAATGAAAATCATGACTAAGACTGTTGTGACACTGACTATAATTTTTACATGTAAATTCATATGGTATCTGAATACGTATGGTAATAAAATGTGTGCATCTTTTGTGTACATTTACATTTGTTTATAACTTGTAAAACTATTGTTGAAATTAATGATGACGTAACTAGTTTAGTAAAACAACCTTTTACCCCTCCTAATCTGGTTCAAACATACAGGCAGAGAGTACAGTTGATTGTGATTTCTGTGATGTAACATCCTGAAAAAACACTGTCATGTCAGTTGTTCAAAATATGTAATGCAATACGACATATCCTGTACATTGTTTGTAAATAACGAATGACGGACCACATGTTTCAAATCAGAGTCTTGATCATGAAATTAGCAAATGACTTACCGTTCGATCCTCTGAATGCACTGATGAAGCGGCGATTACGGGTACAAGCAGCAGGATCAATAATATGAAGTCCACATTCACACTACTGCAAGCCGCCATGACACCTCAAGTCATGTGAGACTGGACCACCTAAGTATATGATTATGAATAGCAAGAGGGCGCAACAAATTACTTCGAAATCAAACATTATTTCATGGCTACAGAAAAGTTGTAATATTGTCAGTTTTATTATTTTTACATATTTGATATATTATGTTACAAAGATTAAGAAAATGAAATAAAAATATGTGGTCACCGTACTCAGTTCAGAGAAAATCCATCAATAAAATACAGTGAGAATAGCATGTTTTGTCTGTCTTAGGGCATTTTAACATTGTTTCCTATGGCAGGGATATCTCTAAATGTTGCATGGTGAAAACAAAAATATATAGAGTCTTACAAGGTACTTTTTTAATGTATAGAAGTATTAACAAAGTTTGTAGGTTTTTAATGAGGAATTTTTTTTTTCATTATGACTAGGTCTATTGAACTTGTATCCTCATTGTGAGTAAAGTTACTAATAAAATCACAACAACAATAACAGAAGACAAAATAACAACACGTTTGAATAGGAATTGTTTTTTGAGTTGCGAGTCAACAATTATATTATTTTCCCTTTGTTTCAAAAATTTAGCAATGAGTCTACTTATTATCTGTGTTTTTAGTATCAGTTTATCATGGTCTTATATATGGCTTATATCCCCGTGGATGAAAGTAGGGACACACCAAAATATGACATCGTACAAGCAGCAGGATCAATAATATGAAGTACACATTCACACTACTGCAAGCCGCCATGACACCACAAGTCATGTGAGACTGGACCACCTAAGTATATGATTATATGACAAAATATGACATCGTATTTTCAACTCAAATGATTTTAATAGAAGATGAGAATTCCTGTTTTTTTTTTTTGTTTTTTTATTTCTAGATATTGTTTCTGGCCAAAGCTTGTTTAAAAGGTTTTTAAATATTCCAAGACCTTTTTTGCATAATTTTCTCTAACATGATCCCACGCATGCACCACTAAATTTGTCCTACCAGTAAGCCAATCTTCAATATTATTGTCATTCAGATGATGTTTATGCTTCTACAAGTAATGTATTTTCTTTCATTTATTTCCAATTGGACCAGTAATTAATGTTTACTTTTGAAACTAGAGGAGCACAACTTTATAAATATACTACTATTATATAAATTTTACATTTCAAACTGAAACAAATAAATAACATTGGGACATTTTTAAAGTTCACTGAATATTATACACAAAAATTGAAATAAAATTCAAGAAACACATTCACATCTTCAATCATACATCATTAATAACAGTATACTACTAAATATTTGATTATACTGATTTAATTGTTTGTTTGAAATTTAAACATTAATTGTGATATTCAGACATGGTTTATATGACTCTTTATTACATACTTGACTATATATTAATGCATTGCAGCATATAATTATTATACCTTGGACTTTATCAGATTACCAATGCACGGAGTCCACAGTGGTAAATCACACCTCAATTAGAAGAACATTCACATACATAAATCACAGGTTTCTTGGATTTACCTGTGCTATGTAACATATTTATTAGTGCAGATTGTTGAAAATGTGTAATAATCCTAATAGCACATGTGAAGACTGGCAATTGGTTTGTTTTCTAAACATGCCTAAGATTTGCATCTGAATTATTGAACGCAGTAATTCAAATCAAAGCAGATAACCCCCACCCCCACCCCCACCCCCACCCCCAAACAATATTTCACGCAATGGTCCCAGGACCCCATTAAAGCTCTATAAATGGTCATGTACTCAAAAAATAAAATAAGTAGTATTATAAGGATTCAGTAAATTATACAATAAATGTGTGCACTACAATTGGGGATGCACTACCAATAAAACAAATATATATGAACAATTACATTGCAATTTAAGGTGCAGAAAGGAAGGAGAATAAATATTCTACTAGTGATTAAGTCGCAAAGTGTGAAGAGGTGAAAAGTATGAATTAAGAGCATAATTATTCGTCAAATGACAATGTTCATCTCTCAATGACTAACAAGGTTCATATAACAGACACTATGTCTACGCATGGAGAGTGCCCATTTTATAAGAGGAACTGTTGATATTCTAGACTAACTTTGTTTTATTTTGATAACATTTTCATATTCATCCACGATTGCCCTCGAAATAGCTCTTCTTAGTTAGTCTGAGAAAACCGGAAGCATGTTGATGACCTTGAACAAAGTTTTGGTTAAAATGGTTACATGTGATAATCAAAATACCAAGTCATAATAATGCTAATAGTAATGCCAATAAACATTTAAGTTTATCGATAATGTATTATATATTCACATTCAACCCCCTCCCCCCCACCACACACACACGTCTGTTACTTGAACATGCATGTGCATGACCTCATGCAATCAAAGTCAGTCATTTACATTTGCCGCATAAATTCTAGCCTTCATAATTGCTGTCAATGAAACAACTTTCGCTACAACCAAGATATGTGCAAGTGTTTGTAATTGAAGAAATGGAGATATTGCTGCAGGAGTGTTTTAAATTGTGATCATTTCCTCATTTTAGTTGCAATATTTGCTTGTCTCTGATAGCTAAATGTACGACAAAGCCGACCAGTACTGTCACTGTCCCTTATAATGTTAATATTGATATACACTGACCCCTCGCTCAGTCGCACCTCAGTAAATCGCTGTTTCGGCTAAGTCACGGGTAGTTGGATGACTCCAAAAAATTCTATTGTGTTTTGCCACAGTTTTGGAGTAAAAGAACTAATATTTAGTTGCATCATATATTTAATTGGCCGTTAAAGGGCTGGAGGAGACCACTTCACCGTGACACCTACTGGTTGTCAATTACTGAGATTCAAAGGGTGACTGCAGCCTGACTTGAGGTGTCAACAGGGGTATCAAGTCACGACTTGACATCTCGGCCGGTCCCACTTTGATATAGCTCTATAAAACTCAGTATAATGAGTTGAATCCGATAAGTTGCGTTTTTTGCTTGGATCCCGACACCCGCTACCTAGCAAGGGAACACCGTATTCTATTCTAGAGCAAGCTAGAATTGATACTTTCATGAATTATTTGACTTTAATGTGACCTGTAAAAGCACAACCAAAGCCAGAATATTAGATTTACTCATCATCTGCCATTGTGACCACAAATCAAATATTTTTTTCAAATTTGAGCTGAAATCATCTGCACAATGGGTCATGGAAACTACCATTAAATATTATGGTAAATAATATCTTGCATACTATTCAAAATTTATGTGAAATGGAAATTGTAAGAAATGTAAGATAAAATATTGTCACCATAGAAACTAACAAATATAAAATGAAAAATATATCCTGCTATAATATCACACAATATCTTACAGAAATCAAGACATAAAGGTTTTTCACTGTTGCTTTTGGAACTAAACTCAAAAAAATAATTAAGCAAATATCCACTGATGCATTTATGAAAACTGATTCCCAAGACAACTGCTAGGATTGAAATTCAAAAATAAAATAATATACATTCCTTGTTTCTAACAAAAGAATAAATTATTTTGGAAGACACTCCCTCTCCGCCTATCTCCTTTTGCTCGGCATGATACATTGTATAAAAAATGTTTTGTTTCGTTTGTTTTTTGATTTACAACTTTAATTTTCTATATGATGAGTGCCCAGTGATGTATATAATTATTTTCATTGATGGTTTCTAAGAGAAGTTACAAGTTTATTTATTGTAAATTCTACTCACAAAAAATGCACATATTCGTAGTGGGTCACAGTGAGTGTATAGTACTCCAAACGATCAGCTGGATTCGCCTTTTCATAAGAACTTATAATTTACAAAGTGGGTATCAATGTTTTCAATATTTTGAACTTATTTTTTGTGGTCACTATATTTACCTATGTTACTAATAGAGACATATAGGTGGATTACTCTGTACTTTTTAGAAATATGGCGATTTTGAAATCAAGCTAAGCTAGATTTAAGTCAGCTCTGAGCTAGCTAAACATTCACGCCCAAATTTTATCTTATATTCTACAATAATTTTGGAAATGAACCCTAATTTTGAAGCCAACATACAAAATTTGAATCAATTTCCAGTTTTTACTAAAAAAATTTGGCTATTTTTGTCACAATCTTCTGAAGGAAAGTCCAGACTATAAACAGGACTATTTGAATTTGTGATGAAAAGACTGTACTGTATTGTGCTGTGGCTGGTTATTGGTAATGGCTCTTATTTGCATCACTGATATTTCTTATCATGAAATTATATTCGCCATCCTGACCAACAATTGACAACATTTTCTTTTTTTATCGTAACACAATCGATGGAAAACGTAAACAGATTGTGTTTATCTGATTTAATTGTTGTACTTGTAGGAATATATTGCCGCTGTTTAGTGATACACGATATTCTGTGTAATTCTTGAAATCAACTGTCATCTGAATCAGATGAAAGCCCTTCAATCTCCTCATCAGCGCCTCCTACAGCTTTCCAAAATGCAATGGTTACTTTCTCTGCATATGCCTTCTTTTCATCAGGTGGTAATGTTTCTGCAGTTTCTGGGAAAAAAAAGGAATCGAGAGAAGTTGTTTACAAAGTGTTTACCACAACTTTGAAATAAACAACAACATCATGAGAATAGTATGCACATGTCTGAAAACAATCGATGCAAACAGATGGAGCACTAGCCCGCAATAATGTTGCCATTAACTTTTATTTCATTGTATTTTTGAATATGAAATCATATGGAATAACAAAAATATCCTCATTCAAAATAAAAGTATCTTTTACAGAGCGTTTTTTAATGCAGGAATAATTTATATTGCAGATATATTTGACACAAATGGTAAAATTAAAAATTGGGCTAATCTCCATGCACTAGGGCTCAATTATGTTCAGCTACTTTAGTGGTATGGCATTATCTCTG